AAAAAAAAACGTGCAGACAAAGTTTAGAAAAATTCCATATCGTTGTCACCTTTCCCGTATTTAATTGACATCGTGCAGTTCGGGCTTTGTACACAACATGCAACAGGCAACACACAACATGCAACACACAACATGCAACATGCAACACACAACATGCAATATGCAACATGTAACATGCAACACACAACATGCAATATGCAACATGCAATAAAACCTTCAACCAATTCTTTTTTTAAAATCGCTGTATTGATGTAAGCATAAGCCTCTGGCTAGGGAGACTCAGCAACGGATTACTCAGCTATTAACAGTGCTATTCCCTCTGCTCTTTATTTGAAGGTAGAGCAGTTGTATAACATCGAACAAATGTTTCCTCGGTTCATAGTCAAACACTGGCAGGTCAAAACACATGTAGAATACCCAAACAGACCCAAGACTCTTGCACGACAGGTAAATGCTACATACTACAGACTACTTCGACGATATGGCGGCCATCTTGGATCGCAAGGCATTATGGGGCGTCCAGGGGGCAAATAAAGCTTTGTTACAGTAATGACGTCGATTGATATTAACAGCTCACCAGAGAATACGACAAAAGATGAATTTATGCAGCACATCTATCACCTTTACACAAAAGAGAAAGAAAAACACACGAAACTATATATTTTCTGTCATCTTTGTTTTTGTTTCCTTTTCTGGCAAGATGGCCGCCTTATCGACGAAGTAGTCTATTGCTGGTTTTCAATCATGGTTAAATATTGTACAGCCTTCGGTTGCAAAAATCAAAGCTCAAATTTAATCTAGCTTAGAATTAGGAACTGTTGTAACTTGGTCTGCGTTCTTTATTTATTTTTAAGCCGGGTATTATAACTGCCCGGCTCATTAGTAAGAAACGCGCATGCGCAAAGCTGAATGCTTATGCTTTTTACTTAAGATATATGACATCATAGCAGGAACTCTAACGACTGTTGGCTACGAGGAACATGAAATGGTTAACGAAGTCGAGAAAACGATTGAAGAACAAGAACATAGGTAAACAGTTTCCATTTCCAGATTCTTTGTTTGAGTTGTATTCATTTTTATGAGCAAGCGTTAGACATAGAAATAGCTCTTTAGGAAATGACAAGTGGTCAGAAGTTGTGAAATCATTACGCCCAAGCTAAAAGGGTCTATTGTCTCAAACACAAAGCATTCAATGGAGACTGCGGCGGCAAGGTTCAAATTGAAATTATTTTTTTAAACTTATGCCTTGTAGCCAAAATTAGATGCTGTGTTTTGGACCAGTCTTTAAACCGATGTTTGGAAAGTGGTGTATCATTTGAACGTACTTATCATATGCGAGTAGTCTCTTATGTCTCTCCCTTGATTCTAGGATTTTTTCCGTTCCGGTTTTCCTTCTTCCACAAAACCTAACATACTAGCTTCTAATAACTTGTCGTCTTTTTCAGGCTTAAATCTATTTCGAAGAAGCTAGGAATTCAATCAGGACAGCTTGAATTGATGCAAGAGTACATGGCAAGAATCGCAGAAAAAATCATTGGTTCTAAGCCTGGTTTTGAAGATGATATTGTAAATGACCAATCAGAGGCTTGAGCTAGCTACAAACCACAGACCCCATATACGAAGGAGTGAACGCTGTTTGTTTTTCTGTTGAAATTGAAGATGGTTCAGTCCCAAAATTCAATGCGTGATGAATTCATTTTCAGTCTCCATTTCATGAGTAATAGACCCTTTATCTTGGGCTTAATGGTTTCCCATACTAGACACGTGTCATTCTTTTACTGAATAAGATTAATATTTGTTCCGAGTTGTATGTTATATTCATATGTTTCCTCATGCCCAACTGTTTAAAACAAAGAAATTATACTCTAGGGAATGACGCTTGGTCTCAAATGGTAAAACATTATGCCCAAGTAAAGAGGTCTATTGCTTTTCTGTTAGACATTGAACATGGTATTACTCTCATGAATTCGATGCGGTTCGATATTGGCTGAAAAAAAATAAAAAACAATTTATCAAGAAACCTTCAGTTTGAAAATATCGTAATTGTTTTATTTGATTCGCTACATATTTGACTCACTCAAATTAATATATTTAAGCAAGATCTATTTATTGCACAAAAGAATGCTTGTAAAAACTAATATTGTTTATAAAGACTGATTCCATAAGTCGGTATGTTCGCTCTTTTGTCGATTCTGGAGCGAAAACTACGAGTCATGCATTCAGTCTAGTGCGGATTACCTTGATGTATTTCAAATATTTTTCATACAAAAAAAAAACTCCATATTCAACGCTAGCTTGCTTATTTACTGGTCACAAGGGAAACGGTGTGTTTCGTGGTCCCGAGACGACGATGAAACCATCGCCGTCGACGAGGGACCAATAAACCGAGGTTCGAGTTAAAAAGTGTTTGTTATATACCAAGTGCCAAAGAACACAAAACAATTTATTTGGTTTTTGATTATTTGATCTTAAAACTTAGAAATCTTACATTTCTGTTGAAACAGTAATTGCAAATTTGATGCTTATCACGTGGCACCCTCTTCACCAATGATAAGAGAGAGAATATGAATTTTGACGCTTGATGATGACAACTATTTTTCGTTCTCATTTGTATTGTTCTGTCGCAAGCCGACGAAACTTTAGCTTGATAAATGTATCATCTGCAGAATACACTATAGTTATCATGTCAAGCTCACAAACTATTAGGGATTAACTAAAAAGTCATTAACAAATAGTCCTCCTTGGCTCGGGCGCAATGTTTTCGCCGGCATTTCAAACCACATGTCATTACCTTAAGAATAAGATTATTTGTTAGTGTCGTATCCAATCATGAAATCTGTCTTCTCATGTGCAACCGAGTGCAGCCGTTAAACAAATAAATGATTCTCTAGGGAATGACACGTGCTATGAAATGGGAAAATATTACGCCTGAACCGAGGAGGTCTGAGGAGAGAGAATTAGCAAATGTATTATGGCACTCAAATTCTATCCTCGATGCAAAAACATATAGAAAATGTCGAAAACAATGAAAAAGGATCAATATTTAACAGAAATAAAGATGGTATAAAATTGCAAATTCTATAGTTAATCAAACTGATCAACTCAGTGATGAGCGTCCAGTCAGATTCATATACCCATTGCAGCTTGAATACTGAAAATTTCGGAAGACATAATCGAGAGATAATTTTGATATGAAAATAGCGAAATCACACAGAATAATGAAGTGTGCGTCAAACGAATTAATAACCTCGACGTTTCGAAAAATATGATTTGTTTCGAAGTTCGTTGTAGTGCCTTCAGCATCGGCAAATGTCCTTTCTTCAATAAGGATTTATTAATTTTCTTATGAAAATAACAATCCGTGGGTCCTTTGAAACAARTCATCTCTCTTAAAATATGAATTTAATATATAAGTTAAATCGTGTCCTAATAATTTGCTTAATCTGCTCAATTGCCGTATCTTAAAAGTACGCATGCGCACTGACTCCCATAAAAAGCGCGCGAAATCTTGACGCGCCTGCTAGTCCTGCTAGAAATTTTTAATCTTAACTTCACTTAAACATAAGGTACGTTAAAGACGATTGAAAATTTCTCTTTTTTATATAATCTATTATTATATTTGACATAATTTTTCATTTCCGAGCTCGAAGAGCTGTCAAAATGTTTCCTTCGTAGTTAAATATCAGTCGGTTTACAATGATTATTTAAGGTTAAATTGATACTAACTTACTGCCAAAACCACTTTGTAACATTAATTGAAAGCAAGCAGAATTCAGTTATATTGCTTGTCAGCAAAGAACGTTTCTTTGTATTGTGTAGGAAACCTTTTAAGAATAATTGAATGATTCTTATAATATCAGTTTACGTATTGTTTTTTATCAGAAAACAAACGGAACGTCGAAGCGTTGAATCCGTCGTGCAGTAACTCATTCACGAAGAAGAATCAGGTAAGTCTTGTTTGTCTTTTAATTCAATAATTCATCCTCGTGAGCTTTGAATTTTAGAAAGTTATTTCCTCGTTAATTATAGAAGATTCAGTTGCGAAGAAAAACGCAGGTTATCTTCATTCTGCATTTCTTAGCTCGTTAAACTCTGAACCCACGAGTTTCAATAGTTGAAGAAAAGCTATTTTCTTTTGGTAAATGAAAGCAGATGAAGTTTCAAACTAAAAATAACTGACCTTAAATTGTTAGTCAACCAAGCTTAACTCTCAAGCCAATTAAATTTGCCACTGCAAAACACAGCTGAAAACTTTAGAAAGCTATTAGATTGAAGTCACTCAAACTCCGGGTATATAATGATTGCATTTTTATTGTCAACAAACTCAGTTCAAGATTCGGGGTTTTTAAGGGTCTCCTTTTTTCATTTAGAAGAAAATTTGTAGCATTTTAATATAAGAAAATGAATGGATATTGTTTGCGATATTTATAGCTCGTCTTGGATATTCGCCTTTACAGCTAGTGTACTATTTTTTCATCTTTTCACGGTGTACAATTTACCTTTTCATCATTACTGTTTCATTAGAAACGACGCAGCTCACACTAGTTTTTAGCTAGTTATCTCTTCTTATTACTATATACTGCGACCGTTTTTATTGTATTTCAGAAGTGTTTTTCGTCTTTTCACGGTGTATAATTTACCTTTTTATCATTACTATTTTATACTCGTTACAGCTAATTAAGGAAAACGGCATGAAGATTATCTATATTTATAGGTCGGATAAAAGTTATTATGTCTGATTCCCTTAGTTTTTATTTTTTCTTCCCAATTAACTTAACAGTGGGACTACCCAGAAGCTACCTTTATGTAAACATGACCTAACTAAGAAATAAAAAATAAAAAACCACGAGAGGGCCTATGTATGACTAAATTGACTTTTTTAGATTTAAATTTAGATTTTTTAATTTAAAATTTTGAATATTTTTAACTCGCCCGTCCATGGATATGTATGCGAGACTACATAAAAAATGTAAAAAAKATATTTGAATATTTTGACAGACTTCTTCTTTTTTCGACAAATGAAAACGCACGAAGCAGTTAACGTATATTCTGTGAATAGCGCACTTCAGTATAAGTTGGAAAGCCATTTAAACGTTGTTGGATTTTCAAGTTGATTGACAGCACCCATTTTAAAAACACGACTTTCTCGACCAAGAAAGAGTTTAATGATGTTCGTGTCGATCAGCCTATCAACAATGTACTACTCCTTAATACGTTATTATTTAATTCGATACCCCGAGAAAAATGAATTCAGGGTGGCCGGCACGGCTAACTCACAGATTGAATTGAAAATAAGCTTAAGTAGGTTTTGAAGAGGGAGGATAGGAACCAGAGAACCAGGGGGAAAAATCTCGAATCAAGGGAGACACCAATGAAGTGTACTCTCGTTTGACGTCTTGTCCAGGAATTGAACGTTAAAGGTACCATTGATTCCCTTAAATGTTAAAAACAAATTACGCGCGCGTGTGTAATGCAAAATGCGTACCATGAAAGGTGAAGACGCCAACTACTGACATGAAAAGTGTACCTTCAATCCAATATTAATTACAATAACGAGATGTCATTTTCAGGCAGCTTACCGACCTCTGTCTGTATTAAAAACTACATTTCGTCAAATTTCAGCTGTTTTTTTCCCCTGTTATATATTTTTTTTCAAGTAAAAAGTTCCATAAAAAATGGAATACAAATCAAGCCCCAACTACGCCATCCAAATAAGAAAATAAGCTCAAATGATGTTTGTTACACCGGTAAAAGTTTAATTATCCCTGAGCTCATACTTCTTCTCTTAATTAARAACATATCAAACTTCGGCTCTCGTTTATCTCAAAAAATTAATAAATCGAGAAAGATACTGAGGAATAGATTAGTACTGATCAATAACCTGATTATTAAACAGTTTAATGCTGAAAAAGTTATCAAAAGTTATCATGTTTGTCTCTGATTTAATTATTGTTTGTTAGAAAAAGAAAAAGTTATCTGAGAATTGCGACGGTTCATTGTTGGCAGCAAATTGTGTTCTAAATTGCAAACTGATTTTATTTACTTAAGGTTATTTGACTCAGTTAAAAATGATTCAAACGGAAATGAATGTTCAACTGTTAGGCAATTTGAATAGATATAGAAGTGAGAAATAGAAACGGAAATGAAAAATAGAAATGGAAATAGAAATATAATAAGCCTTATTTCGAAAATTTGCATTTCAGATTGATATTCAACCGAGAAAAGTATATAAAAAACAAGCACGAACAAACGCTATACTTTCGGTTTGATTTTAAACCATTATCAGACGAAATGATTACTAACATTACTGAGTTACGTTGATTTAGAATTAAACTGAAAGTATAGCATTTGTCCATAGTAGGTTTCTTTGCTTGACTCTTTTAAATATCAACCCGAATGTTTTCGGGATAACGTTTCAGTGTTCTATGATCTAAAACTGTCAGTGGTCGAAATGGAAATAGATACCAGAAATACACATGTAAATAATAATAATAATAATAATAATAATAATAATAATGATGATGATGATGATAATAATAATGATGATAATAACGGTTTAATGATGACATATCTACAGAGTAGCTTTACATTCATCATGAAATCACAAAATAAAACTACAAAAACTACGAAATTACAAAAATTATATAGACTAATGGAAATCAACAATCGTAAGGTCCCAAAAGAGTGACGAGTATAATTTGATGTACAGATTTGATGTACGTATGCAATCCTTGTACCGTTCTGTTTATATTTAACTGTGATAATTTCACACTTCAAATCGTTTATTTGTTACTTTATCAGTAACTGCTTTAACCAAATACGTCATTAATATTGTTATCCAATCAGATAATAGCGCAGGAAACATCAAGGGTAATATTCTTTTCTTTCGATAATGAGTGGTTATCCTTTCGTAGTCGTTGTGTAGTCGCTATTTCGTCTTTCTCGTAATCAATGGTTCAATTAAAAAAAAAAAGAATAAAAAGGAAAAAAAAACTTGGATGTTATGAAATTAACAATACAAGTGGAGCTTTTCGTATCTAGGGGTTCCTTGACGGTCCGTGCCCACCAGTAGTTAAGGTAAGCTAAAGTAGCTTCAAAAACCTTCTAAGTTAGGGCATGAATAACTCACAGATTGAACCCTGAAACAACCCCTGGTTTGACCTAATTCAGGGTATGGGTAACTCACAGATTGAACACTGAAACAAACTCTGGGCTGATCTAAGTCAGGGACCGGCTAACTCACAGATTGAACACTGAAACAACCTCTGGGCTGATCTAAGTCAGGGACCGGCTAACTCACAGATCGAACCCTGAAACAACCTCTGGTTTGATCTAAGTCAGGGCACGGCTAACTCACAAATAACTAACTCAGAAAACATGGAAATTATTACGAACAAAAACGGAGGGCATAGAAGGACTTTTAAATAAAAACCTATTTGAGCGAAACTAGTTGGAAAACAATTAAAATCTCTGCGCACATCTGAAACGAACAGCATGATTTCTTTGTATTGACTTGTAGCCTTATATTAGAAAAACTTATTGCCTTATATTTGATAACATCTAAGACATGTATATCTGGAACGGTGCACTTGTACAGAGATCTTACTATTTGGTCCGGGCTTGCTTTGAGCGGTGATAGCACTTGTTTACATATCTCACTGGTGTAACATTTCATGGTAGAATATTTTAAAGCAATTTCTCATGATAAACTTTCTTGACAACTGCTTTCCGTTACATCAAAAAAATTCTTCACACGTTTTTTAGTTCTCTTGAAGTAGATTTTTGAGTCAATACGAGAAGTCTTTTTTTCTGGACGGGATTTTTGTTTGACAAACTGAAAGATATGAAATGTGTTTTTGTCACTCGGTAAARATMTATATGTTAAGTGTATGYTACATCGAGTGTATGAGCAGATTAGATAGTTCTTCTTCCTCGGATTGTCGTCCACGAAAATAATTAAATCCATACGATTTTTTTAGCTTCTACAGTCAGTACGTACATATATTTGACACTTGATTGAGATATAGGGTTCTTCATATTAAATAAGATAGATCGACTAGATCTTTTGTTGATCTTTGTAGATGGTATTAATAAATATCGTATCCGACTTTATCCTTTCGAAACGTCTAATAAAAATTAGATTTTCCCCAATAGTTTTTTTTTCTTTTTTCTCTTTTGCTTTCTTTTTTCTTCCTTTTTGATGAAAATGATTGCAATGACATTTTGAAAATCTAGTCATGTGCTAATGAGCAAATATTTTTAATTACTGAAAACAATCTTTACGAAAATCAATATTTTTCCTCATTCTTCTTTTCCTTGTCTCTCTCTCTCTCTCTCTCTCTCTCTCTCTCTCTCTCTCTCTCTCTTTCTCTTTTCTTAATAATAAAATCGTGAAAACGAACTTTACGGAAACTGATCTTATCTCAAATTCATGGTTGTTCATTAATATCCTTTTCATTCGTTATTCAAGTTGTCTATCACTAGGGCTTTCTGGAAAAAATATCGGCCGATGACATCCCATAATTTCTGATATACTTTTGATATACTTGTATATATATATAAATGGTCAAAGTTTATGCAAACCGCAGTGTAAATATATATGTGTATATACAACTCTTTGCAAAAATTCTGTAAATAAAAATAATATCGATATATTGGGTGCATTATTTATGGGTAATATAGATAAATATATATATATATATACACTCGATTGCAGAAACGTTGTAGTATACATTTATACATATATCTAATTTATTCAGTATATTTAATGATATGCAAAACGGAAAAATCGCTTTATTTATTGCTTGTTTCATTCAATGACTGTCAAAATATCTTTTCTGGTCTATTAGATCGTACAGATTATAAATCAGTTGGTTTTAAGCGTTGAAAATGGTTATTTTGCATTATGCATCTCATTAGATATTTGTATAAATGTATAAATATATATTACAGCGTTTCTGCAATCGAGTGAATATATAAACCTTTCAGCTGATTAGCGTCGATGGTAATACCCCAGACCAGCTGCTGAATTCCTATTTCAATTAACTAACTTCTTCAAGCTTAATGAAGGTATATTGCGATCTGGATAAGCTTTTGTGGGCTGGTCTTTCCCACGGGCTTTAATTTTACCGAATGGGTTCGCCAATTAGAATTTTCAGAAAATGCTTTTCGCGGAGGGAGAAAAAACCGATCGGAAAACCTGGAATAAAAAATTAACTTTTGGTTCAAAATAAAACAAAACTTGTCAGGTTGTACTCCACCATACACTGAGCCGGCCGGTTTTGTTTGCTTTTTCTATCCTTTGATTAAATTCCATGGTTTACTGTCACTGATAAGGATATTTTTTATGATCTTTAAGGAAGAAAAACATTTCCCATTGCTTCATAATTGGGAAGAAATCAGCATGCGTCTAGAATGGATGCAAATTATATTTATAAATATATATATATAATATTTTTAGTCCTTTGTTAAGCAATTTAGCGAGAGATAAAGTTGATTATGTAAGGGTGGATAAGGTCCATTAACAGCACTAGAAATCTGTAAGATTCCGTTTTGACAGTGATGCTAAGTAAGTAGTACGTGCATGTTGTGAATACAGAAGGAATAGGGAGGGAAATACTGCAATAAGAGAGCAAAGCAGAGCAGAGCAGAAAAGATTGAAAAGAAAAGAAAAGAAAATTAATTAAAATAGTGAAAAGAAGAAAAAGAAAAGATAAAAGAAAATAGAAAAAGAAAAGATAAAAGAAAATAGAAAAAGGAAGAAGAAACGACAATGAAGTATAAAAAGGAAAGGAAAGGGAAGGAAAAAATGATCAGAAGCTGAGTTTTGAGCTTTTTTAAAAAGTCATTATGTTTTTTATTTAGTAGACTATAAGGATTAAGTAGATTAGATATCGTTGTAGCTGTCCTTTCTTTTCTTAATTTTAGGTATAAATTTTACAAAAATTTAACCATTTTTCTTGTTCTTTCAAGTGAGTCGTAAAACTGACAAATTGATATTCTTTAGAAATTGATGAGTTTTTAAAAAGCTATAGCTCGAGGATATTTGGTGATTTTGTTTTGTATTATGAAATAACTGTTATAAATCTCGCGTTTTGATTGGTTGGGAAAGCGTGCTTTATGATAGCACACAGCACGTGTGCGCACTTTCGGTTGCGTCATTTTTAAAATAAAAATCATTGGCGTGCTTCCATAGCGGGAGATTGTCAATCCTGAAAGAAGCGCAATGGAGATGCGTACTCTTGCATTTCTTTGCCAACCACTTTGAAGCGCCTGCAGGCCTGATGTTCTGAATATGCTGAATAGGAATAGGATTTCAAAAAAAAGGGGTCAGTCCAAGATCTGATATGGGCGATCTGAGACTAAACGGAACGGTTTGTGCTTATACGTTTTCTTACTAAAATCCCCCCCCGCAGAAAAAAATTCGTGTCATGCTTCATACTCCAATATCTAAAAAGGAAAATGCGTTGTTCCTTTGTAAATGCATTACAACGTTCAGTCGTTTTTTAAATAAGTGTATAAGAAAAAGCCATATAATGCTGCCTAGGACGCGTTCCTCATTTTATTTATTTATTTATACTTTTTAAAAGATAAAGCGTTAGCTTAGAACAGTCATACCTTTCTAGTCTCCGAGCAGAGGTCCTTTCTTTCCTACTAGCATGCGAGAGGAAAAGAAATTTTTTTTCCTCTCGCTTCCTAGCGGGGTAGAGGAGGACCTCTGTGGGATTGATAACGGGAATGCGTGGTTACAGTGCCTTTTGATTTCGTCCCAGCCCCATAAACCCATGCACACCGCAAAGTCGTAACCAGTTCACTTTTATGCGTAGGATTCAACCCAAGGTGAATAGAGTTTTGACAGAAAAGTCGTCGACAGCTGGACCCCAGCACTTAACTAGAAACGAAAATATACCCAAACCCTTTCACACTTTAAAAACGAATTCAGACAATATTATTTATATCTAAGTGTTCATCTTATTCTTAGAAAGTCCAATATAACACAAGTTGAAAGAGGATATATAACCCCAAGATTTATTTGCCTTGAGTAGCAGTTTGCATTATTTCATCTAAAGGTAAGTTAAAGATAGCTTATAAATGGGATTCGAATACGTTCATAATCAGTTTCTACCTTATATTATTATTGCAATATATATGAATGCTCTGAATAAGCGCTCAAGACACTATAGGGCGCCAACTTAGCGTAACCTATAGACCATCGGTCTTACATCTTTTAAACGGCTTTAACAACATGACCGTTTCTTCATTGAAAAACCAAACTAGAACTTAGTGCTTAAACTCAATCTTAAATTTAAAACTTAGTCGAAATTCCAATTAACTATAAGCTTGTATTTCTAATTAAAAACGTTTCCTTAAAATATTTCAAATTGGACCTTCCTCAAGCAAATGCAAATTATTATACACCAATTCGAAATATGTCGCTAACTTTTGCTATTGTTCTGCACTGACTAGCGACTGACTAGCCTCGTGTTTCAAAATCGTTTTCACGTGTATTCCCATAGTCATTCTCTAGTGTCAGTGAAGAACAATAGTTTTATCATCATGATTATTATTATCATTAGTCTATTATTAAATTTATAAATGTACTTCCAAGCAACCTGCCTTTTAGAGTATCTATAATGGGAAACTATTCAGGTAATATTAAATATATTTGATATATGACCTAAATAATCGTAGAAGTAAAATGCGACACATTTGCTAGCTGCAAAACAATTTTATCGCCCTTCGTCCTTATTCTTGGTTTTCAATCAATCCCAAGAGAGCGCAATAACAAAAGGGATGTCCGCCATGTTGGAAGATATAACAAAAGAATTGATTGAAAAATCTTTTGTCAAATTCTTCCAACATGGCGGTTATGACGTCTATTGCAAACGAAGAATTAACATTTATATCTAGTTCTATAAACATTTCCCTACGAAATTGTCGAAAAATATTTTCTTTCAAAAGGAGAAAAATGAAAGAAAGAAAATGTCAGTGATTTGTCTGTGCGTGTACATTATTTGGCACACAAACTGTAGTTGGAACTCACAATTATATATATATTATATAATAATACTTGTCAAACGAACCAACCCACACATACTTGTTGATTATTTATGGACACAAGAGTCAATGGCTTCGCTATTCATTGCCAACCAAACTTATTAAACTGGATAATTGTAGCTTTTATCTATAGAACCCTTATTAATCACGCTTTTAAGAGTGTCTGACGTACATCTCAGATGAATCATCTATTAGTGTAGTTTGATTAAGTAGAATAAATGAAACCCTCATTTGTAATATAGAGCTTTTAAGTGTGGCGTCAATCGTATGGAAAAACGACTTCCGGGCTCAAAACTAAAGTAGAAAGTAGCTCCATAAATATTTTTCTTGCTTTCTTTTCATGACAGGATTTGTTGTCCAGAATTTGTTTTCCAAAGTTCTAATTGTCTCAGGTAAACATTTTTCACTTTAGTTTGATGGTTTTTGTGGGCAGTTGGACCCTGGGAATATACCTGGAAATAGAGCAGTAGTTTTCGTATGACTGTGAAAAGCTCAGTGCCGTAAGCATGACGTGCCGTGACCGTGATGCTTTCTAGAATACTCCATTTTACAGTTCCGTTCCAAGCCGAGGCTGGAGTTTCCGCGCATGATAAAAAGTATAGTTTTGCTATGCGCGGAAACTGCAGCCTCGACTTGCAACTATTATTCGTGGTCACTCGAACGGAACTGTAAAATGGAGTATTGGATTGGCTGATTTTTTTCGTGGCGCAATGTGATTGATCTGGCATTACCGTAATCTTGGCGAAACCGTGTCCACGCCGTGTTTATGCCGCGCTCCGGGTATTTGATTGGATGGAGAGTAAATTTTCGTGCAATGTAATTGATCTGGCGTATCCCTTGCCGTGTCACGACCGTGTTCGTGCCGTGAACTTTTCACGGTCATACAAAAACTGCTCTATGATAGAAATAGCACGCGGGCTCTTTCATAAATATCTCAGACCTAGATATGAATTCGAAAAGGAGGCATTTTCGGACAGTGTTCATAACAAACCTTAGGAAACTATAAAATTATTAGCCGTTCCTAGGTTAAGGAAAAGACTGGGTCGGGTTTGCATTACAGTGCATTGCATGTGGGGTATGTTTTAAGAGAAGCCCTACAGTGAACCGTAAAAGTAGCTCGATCCAGTTTTTTCCTAAGCTTTGATCCCGACCAAGATGGCTGCCATCTGGTAAATACTTATAGGATTTATCTATTTTACGTAAATATCGATACCAACGATATATAAGATAAAATAAAGAAGTAAAAGCCATTTGGTAGTCAAGACTGACTAGCCTGGCTTGTCTTGATGTTTGTCTTCTAATTGAAATGGCAACAAACATTTTGTATACTTTGTTTGACATTCTAACGTTCTAAATTTTGCTTCAATGAATATCTCCTTTAAGATGTTGTCTAGTAGTACTTTTTTTTTTTGTATTAACTATTAATAGGAAAGAATATTTATGTTCTCTTGGGAAAAAACCAACAGCAGCCATACGCGCGCGCGGTCTGAGATTCCACTGAGCGATAAATGTTTTCAATGATCTATAAACAGATAGAACTTTGGAAAACAAAACCTGTCATGAAGATAAAGATCAGCGAATCTTTTTAAAAAGAACTGCTTTTCGTTTTAAACCTCGAAAGTCGTTTTGCTATATACGGTTGACGTCACGCTGACTTGTCGAACCAAGCTAGTATTAAATTTATAGAAAAATCTTCGCTGGTCGAGAAAAAAATATATTCAAAGAAAAGTTATGCAGAAATTGCAGTTGCGACTAATAAGGCGCGATTGCACGGAGCAATTTTCAATGCATTTAGTCTCGCAACAGCGTTGCGCACAAGTTGCAAGAGTGTTTATAACACGATGCAACGGAGACGAAATATTTGCCAAAAGTAGAAAGGAATTCTATTTTTTGCAACGATTGGCAGGTGCAACCTGTCTCGCAATATTTTTTCAAATGTGCTGTAGTTTACAGACTGCAATGCTCCATGTAACTCAGTTGCATAGATGAAATGCTCTGCGTAATCGCGCCTTCAAAATAGAAAAAGTATATTTGCTTTAGAAAAAGTTAAGAAAAGGCGGAAGACTTTAGAAATACAAGGAAGACGGAGGCAAAAAAACGACAGTCACGAAGAACGACGAAAATATAAAATAAACACGATAGGTTCCGTTACATGACAGCCTAATAGCGTGTTCAACCCTCATGGAATCTAGTTAAAGGAAGTCTGCCACCTCAAGCGGTGAAGCACATTTTATATAGAAATGTCAGTTGAGTATTCCGCAGGGCAAATTTTTCATTTTTAACTGTCAGATTTTTTTATCATCTTTTATATAACAGTCTGATAATTTCCATCACATTTTCACCTGCGGATACATTAGTCCGATGTTGGTTGCACCAACAGTCGAATGGCTTCCGCCATTAAACTAAAGAAAACCAGGAAAATTTAAGCCATCGAATAAATTGGGAAGCCTTTCATATGTAATGACACTGAACAGGTTTTCTAGCATAGCGATAAAGCTGCGTATGATAACGCCGACTGCTAAGTACCTTGTGTGTGAAAAATATGTTTTGAGATCGCCAAAATTTCGTTGATAAGAATTCGCACATATTTAGCAGAAATGGTATTATTTTTTGCTGTGCCACGCATGCTCATGTGGATTACTTTACGCGCGTCTCTCTGCTCAAGGCTGTTTTTACTGGATAGAGCTAGGAAGAAATTTAAAAACTCGGCTTGCGTATTCGTTTTCATGTCCGGTGCTTAGCAACGATTCAGTTTTAATCTAAGGATGTTTGCCTTCTTAATGTGTTTTCGCGTTCTCTAAGTATTTCAAGTAGAGTACTTAATTCTGGAGTGTATCGGACATCATGACTGGTATGCAATTAATATGAAAGTCATGATATAAATGACTCATTTCCATATTCCTTGCCAATTCAAAAATCACTCGCAAGTGAATTGTTTAATTGCTTTGGGGTAGTGAAGTCTTTGCATTTTATTTCGTATGCCCGACCAAGACTTAATCTTAAAGAAATCTAATCTAAAAAAGCGAATAGTCTGGATCATACCAACTAAGGCTCTGCTGAGTTTTTGCCTTGTATCCTTGAATATTCTCAATGTGAAAAAAAAAACTGGCCAATTTCTGGACGAATATAAAGGCAAGCAAGATAACTGACGCGATTTGAGGTAAAGCCTATTGCTTCTTAGCTCGCGGATACTTTAATTCTGAATCTCAATCTAGCCAAAATCTAATTGAGTAAAATAATGTTTAGGTACTATCATTTGAGTTAAATTCAAAATTCTCGGGATCTATCGTAACAGAAATGTTAGCACATATTTAGTTAATACACTGTATAAATGACTGTGCTGGATTCGTTCCATTGTCTAAGTCATCAATGTCGATATTATTTTCCAAAATTCTGAATTAAGAGAATCGCTTATATACTGTTCAGTGGATATAACTTCTAATTTCTTCGAATTGTGCCAAAACTAAAGTGACTTCAAATAAAAATATAAAATAGCACTTAGTTCCCATTATTTAAATTTTACGCCTAGGTAGAAGAACTTTGAATTAAGAGAATTGTTTGTATAATATCTAGTCTATGCACTATATTATCATGATTTTTGTCTTTAATGAAGCAATCTTAAAGGCTTTAACTTGAATTCACCAACTCATCGACGATGAGATGTGAATGGTAAGATACTCTGGCTTCTTGACAAATTAAGCATCAATTTGTCAAGACGCCAAGAGTCTCCCGTCATCGTCGATGAGTTAGTGAATTAAATAACTTTTCAAAACGGATTGTTTTTCAAGCTTAGATTTAAAACTCATTTTATGGAACCCTATATAAAACGACCCCGACTGAGTGACATGGCTAGGCCGATCGTGAGAGCGATTGATTGTTCGGCGGCTGGAGTTTCGCACGGTTAACTTACCGATGGAATTGGGATATAGCGTTTTAGGTTTTGCGGAGAGAGCAAATGAAGAGACCAAACATGTGATATGTATGATCACGTGATTAAGAGTTTTAAGATGCTCGTTTACGGCAAACGTGAAACGTCAGTTGACCATTGAAAAATATTTTAAATTAGTGAAAAAGAATCGGTAAAATCTCCAAGTAGTAGATAAACAAAAGAATACTTGTTTTTGTCGAGAAGGTTTGCAAAAGGTAACAGTGAAATGTAGGGAAACGATGAAAACGTTGTCACGTTTGCCGTTTGCGGGAAGGAAAAACGGGAATATTAGAGAGTTTTAGATTTACGTTCACGACAAACGTGAAACGTCAGTTGACCAGTAAAAAATTCTTTTAAATTACTGAAAAAGAATCGCAAAAAAGTCCAAGTAGTAGAAAAACAAAAGAGTATCTGCGCTTGGTGAGAAGGTTTGTAAATAGTAAAGTAAAATAAAGGAAAACTATGAAAAAGTGGTCACGTTTGCCGTTTGCGGGGAGAAAAAAAAGTCAATCTAAAACTCTCTATTAATATGCATAATGTCCCAAATCTTCGTTCAAATGTTTGTAATTTATTTGTCTTTATTTTAGTTAATTTGAGATCTTGTTAATTTTAATAAAGTGTTTGGTTTCTATGCTTGTTTGGCTGGCTTTTCGGAACAAAAATAAAAAACAAATGTTAACTTTAATTTAAATTCTTGTCTTGCCTAGAATGTCCCTGCAGCAAAATTAGAACTCCTCTTAAATTATATTTTGTTCAGGGTTCGATCTGTGAGTTACTATGTGCCCTGACTTAGATCAGCCCAGAGGTTGTTTCAGGATTCGATCTGTGAGCTACTATGTGCCCTGACTTAGATCAGCCCAGAGGTTGTTTCAGGGTTCGATCTGTGAG